AATGCAACCCTCAAGTCGAAGTTTAAACTGCCATAATTCTCTTGGGATCCATTTACACATAACAACACCATCAGAATCAAATACCTCAAAATCAATTGAATTACGGTGGATGTCAAGCCTGCATGTACAACCACGAATCACCTGCATAGATTAACACACCGAAGGAACCGATCATTTCCATAACCATGTTGATTCAAGCCATAATTAACTCACTCAACTTCTCCCAATTTACTATTGACTTGTCCTTGGAATAATAATCCCATTCAAACACATAACGGACCTCAAACGACACTCATCCTGAGTGACCCAAATCACAAGACCACATCATCTCGATACCCATAAGCCATCTCATACCTTCCTTGTACACTCAATAGTATCTCCAACTGATACACGTGTTCTGAAGGATCTTCTATGAATCCGAAGTTGTCTCCTTCTATCTCTCCAATACTGGATCATAGACCCAATGATAACATCAAAATTCTCCAAGTATTCTTCACACTCAACTGTAAACCCCCGTCCTCATCCATATAACGAACCCAAAATCCCTAGACACTGCACTTTAATTTTTGAACCCACCAGGACCATTGTTGAGATTCACCTACTCTGACCTAGTCCCGAATGTATAACCAAACCCTAGTGCTCTACTAGCACATGAACACTTCTAAAGAAAAAGCCAGACGAATTATTTTCATTGTACAACACATCCACAAGAAGCATAAACTCTAAGTCATACAAAAATCTACACATGAATCGATAAGGCAAAATGTAGCACACAATCATCAAGTCCTTTGCTCGAATTACCCTTGATGTTTTCTTTCCTTAGTCATAACTAATCTACCAATATACTGATAACCCGATACTGCCAAGGCACACAACCACGTGACCCAGTCATAGATGGTGGGCTCCCTCACTTAGCTTCAAACCACAATTACATAAATCTATAGATCACAATGACTCCTCCTCCTCGGTTACTATGATTTCGCATCGTCGCTCTGCCAAATTCCCTGCAACCTCTTGTTAAACCTGCATAACATAACTCAAATTATCATCTCCAAACACACACTCGACCTACTGACCGCTACACCATCTTATGCGAGCGACCTCAGCTCATATCGCAGTACATGCCTCCCGCTAGGTAGAAAGTAGAACTCTTCGTAGGAACTTCATCAATCATCATGCAATTGCTAGCCTGCCCACATGAGATATCCTACATGTGTAATTCCATATTGATATCTTTCAATGGCATTGCCCTGGTTACAACTACCATGAAATCAGTAACCCTCAAAAGCCCATACTCGACCACCAATTGTAAGAGCTCGTGCATTCCCCATTAGCATCAACTAAAGGTCCAACTATACATTCCAAAACTTGAAGTCATGTTGCATCCCAAAAAGATAATCAAACTTTCATACCCCTATCCATTCCAAGCAAACTCCTATCTGCCATATTCAAACTCCCTCAGTACAGTAGCCACCATACCAAATGAAATTCATAGACTTAGTCATTGTCCACCATGATTCCCAAATCGCTATAAACTTTCTCAAGGCATAAGGCTATCCTACCACAAAAGTCATGTGCTACCATGCCACTTCCACCATGTCATTCCTTCTCCTTCACCGCCAAAATACCGCATCAAATCATAATCCATCTTTATAGCATCCGAACTGATAAATTTCCACCAACTTTGGGTTTCCATAAAGTTCATCTTTCTCGAGCCATCAACATTAGAAACACTGATTTGACTCTGAAGCCGCCATGCACCTCCATATCTAACAACCGCTTCTTATACACCATTCCATAACACCCTGCCCCGAAGGCAAATTAAAGGAGACCATAACACTGATGAGCCTTACTACGTTCCAACAAAGATGACAACACCACACCACAAGTGATATATCCGCCATATTCAAAAATATCAAGAATCGCTACTCCGTCAACCAAGACCTGAACATCCATAGTTCAATGGCCTTTCCTCCGCTGGAATTAAATGTCAAACCTCTAAACCATGAACCGAGTAATCCTCTTTTTGAGTCATTTAATGCCGCGGGAGATAAATAAGCACTCTACCATTAACACCATTATTTCAGGATAACAACGCATGGACATCACAATACACTTTCATAGCCTCAAAACAGTATGCAATACTAACCCTAGGCTGAAACGACCGAACACCCTTCCACAAGGCGACGGTAATAGCCTACCCGAATATACAGGGAGAAACATCCAGCACCATATCTGCAGTACCACTACAACTCCTCAATGCCTAATTGAGAACCAACACTCATTATCTTATAGGAATGAGTATGAAGGAAATAAAGGCATAAACTTTAATGGAATCAAATCGCATGATGAGGAATCAAGAAGGAAAGTGCTCCTAACAGCCCTGTAGTCTCTCGAAGATAAGTACAAACGTCTTTGTATCGATCCACAAGACTATACAAGACTCGCTCATGACTCGTGAGACCCAAGTGAACCTAGAGCTCTGATATCAAGCTGTCACGACCCAAAACCCATTATAGGTCATGATGTCGCCTAATGTCACTGTTAGGCAAGCCAACAGTGATTTACAAACTTAATTATTTATTTTATTATTTTTGAAATCATAAGTTTTATTAGGTAAAGAATTCAATGCAATTAAAAATCATGAATTCTTAAACTATTGGTAAGATATAAAATAAAAGATGACAATAGCAAATCAAACCATAAACAACCACTAGGATATCCCAAAACCCAGTGTCATAAGTGCATGAGCATCTGCTAAAGAATGCAATAATAATACAACATTTGTCTCGAATATAAAATAGACAAGATAAAGTAAATAAATAAGATAGAGACTCTAAGGGCTGCAGTGCATAGCATGGAATACAACTCACCAAAAAGCCCCCTCAGCAGTTGCACCTATGCTCTAAGATGGCCGTCAAGGAACCTTTCAGACCCTGGACATTTAGTGTAGAAGTGTAGTATGAGTACGTAAATCAATGCGTATGCAATAAGTATTTAGCCTAACCCCAGAGAAATAGTGACGAGGGGTCGACATCGACACTTACTTGGGGAAATTCTTCTGATTTGCGAATTATGTATTTACAACTTCAAGGTAAACCAATAAAAGAATATAAATTCCCATCAATGATTAACAGTATGCCAAATCTCTAGATAATGAAGCTCAATTTAACATAATCTTTAACTAAATTCTTACTTATTGATTCAAGCAATTTAAACTAGCAAATTGAGTTCAAATAGTGCAAGTAATAGCATAAAGGCCTACGTCTACCCGAACATAACATGAATCTAGCTACGTTCGGACTCTCGTCACCTCGTGCGTGCTTAGTCCCAACAACAAGTAGCACATATCAAATACATCACCTAGGGGTAGTTTTCCCCTCACATGGTTAAACAGGAAACTTACCTCGCTCCGCCAATAACCGGCTCTGATGCCTCTCTAACTCTTCAATTCAAAGCCAAACGATCCGAAACTAGTCAAAAAATAGGCAAACCAATAAAAATATACTTTAACACTCATAATTAATTAATATTAATTCCCAACTTCGCTCGAAAATTCAACAAAGTTAACCCGAAAATTCAACAAAGTCAACCCTCGGGCTCACGTGCTCGTATTCTGAAAATTTTGGAAGACAAACTTTACCCATAACGCCATGAACTCAAATATATAATTTATTCATAATCTCATGTCCAATTTCGTGGTCAAAATCCAAAAACATCAAATTCTAGATTTTCTTTCAAATCCCATAATTTCTACAAAATTTCATGTTTAAATCCATATGTAACTAATGTATTTTCCTTACAACAAGTGGGAATAACTTACCTCATAATAGATGATAAAATCCTTCCCTTCAAGAGCTCCAAAAATCGCCAACCAAATAAAAATGTGAGAGAAATTGGCTAGGTTTCGAAATAAAATCCCATTACCCAGGCCTTTCCTCTACGCGATCGCGAAGGCCAAAATAATGTTTCTCTCACGACCAAAAACTCAACATATCGTGATGGCGCCTATCGATACTAGGCAAGCCGACTACTAACAAATACAAACATCTTAAATTCAAAACATATTGAAATAGGTTTAAGTAAATAATATCTCATAAAAACTGGATAAAAACACCGCAACTCAATACAGAATTTTCCAAAATTTCGGGCGTCACTGAGTACAAGAGCATCTTTACAAATACACGGTCTAACAACTGAAACGTTGTCTAGGAAGGTAGAATAGTATAAAAAACTAAAAGATAAAGGAGGAGAGTCAAGGTCTGCGGACGTCAAGGCAGCTACCTCGATAATCTCCGAACTGATAAAGCTCCAAAAATCAGCAACCACCGTGCCCCGGAAATACCTGTATTTGTGCACGAAGTGCAGAGTGTCGTATGAGTACAACCAACTCAATAAGTAACAAGACTAACCTTTAGGATGAAAGCAATGGCGAGCTAAATCAATACAGTACAAATACAGAGTTTAACAGTACAACAATAACCGAAAATATGACAATAATATCTCCAAGAAACCCATAGTCTGTTAGTACGTGTGAGCACCTAATTTTTGCCCCACATAGGAAATTACTCCTAAAAATAATCCAAAAATAATTTTAATTATTTTTATGAATTTTAGAAGTTTTTCTTTGTTTATTTTACATTTATTCACATTGTTTATGCATGTTAGGAGTATCGTAAATCATAAAAATCAGAAAAATGTTCAAATCTTAATTTCATAGCATTTTAGATTTTAAATTACATTTTAGGATTTAATTACATTGTTAAATGCATTATATAAATATCTAAAAAAAATCAAAAAATATATTCTTAGGTTAGTTAATTAATTAGATCATCAGTCAATTAGTGAGTAAACTATATATAATAGTTTAGCCACACAAATTGGATTAAATTAAAATTTGAGTCCAAAGTGACTAATTTTGTAATTATTTCAAGCCTATTCCTTTAGAAGCCCAATCCACCCCATAGCCGGGCTCATGCTCTTCTCTTAAAACACTATCTCCCCCACTCTCTCAGGGCAGACCCTAATTTCACCTCTCTCCCTCTCTCCCTCTCTAACATAGAACAAACGGACCCCCTCCTAGAAAGAAAAACCCTAGCCGACGCCTCATCTCTCACTCTCTCATCTGCATACATGCTCACTCACTCACTCACTCCCCTATCCTCACATAATACACACCCACACTCATAGACTCATTTTCTCCACCTCAAGTTTATTGTTGAGATCTGAAATCTGAGGCGACGAGAAAACACACAAGAGCAGCAGTTAAAAATACTTCAAATAGCCTAAAAATGTTAGTTTAGATCAGTAGTTTCAAGGAGCTGTTTGGCTTTCTGTTGATTTGCTTGGTAGTTTTCTGGTTTTCTATGAGTGATTAAACTCTCAAATCACTGTTGGTGGCTGCTGATTCACTTCACTGTTGAGCTCCAGATTTAACTTTTATCATTGTTTCTCTCTATTATGTTTCCACATCAAGGTACTCTTCTCGATTTTGATCATGTAACTTGATTTGGATAATTCATGTTCTATGAAAATAAATCGTGAAACTACATGTTCTTCTCTGTTAAGCGGGTGTTTATTATCGTCGATTTGTATGCCATGTCTATGACTAATTTCATAGATACATCATGAGATTTGCCTATACTCTCTCCTATGCTAATTTTGTGTTAGTTGTTTGTTGAACTAAGTGTTTAAATTCAAATCATTCTCTGAATCAGTTTATTAATCGCTCAATGCCTTATGACTAATACTATGGTTTCGAATATTGCTTATAACTGTCTTTGTGTGAGTTTGAAGTTCTGATTTTCACTTAGGGTTGAAAATTGAAGTTACAAACCACACATTAATTAGCTTAGCTGCTACTGACAGTAGAACTATCCTAATGAAGCAGTTAATACTTTAAAATGTCATTATATCACTGTTGGTTGTGTGTTTAGTGAGTTCATAAGGATCTGAACTGAATTTGGTTACTGTTGATGCTCTTCACATAAGAGAATGGGAGTTTGAATGCTTGGGTTCAAGTTGAAGTCGTAGTACGAAGAGTCACGAATCTCTATTTGGATTTTTGCGTTGTAACAACAAATGATTTTCGTACTGTGATGTTAGTTTGAGTAATCAGGAATTAATGTTTTGGAAACAGTCTTGTAGTTGCTTTTAAATTCGAACAACCATGTATTAATATTTGGGGAAGTTGCATTAGACAATGTTGACAAGCAATCAATGTATCACTGGGCCAATATAGTTGAAGCGTTAATTGAGCCTTTAGAATACAATCACCACTATCTTAAGTAACGAAATGTGTAGCTATCCCAACAAATCTATATCTATATATAAATATAAATGAGGGACATTGACCGCTGATGTGGCATCTCTCACATATCAGGAAATGTATTTATCTTTTTTGTTAGCTTTTGGCCTTTTCCATCTGATTTTAATTCAAAATACCAATTATTAAATCGTAAAAATTAAGATCAGTTACAACTTCCTAATAATAAGGAAACAGAAAAGGCAACGTTTCAGAACTCTCTAAATAACGTTTCAACCCTAATCTTCATGTCTTTTAAATTTTAATTTAATAAATAAAAGGGGAAGAGTAAGTGACCATTCTGCATTCATAACGTTTTCTGTTAACGATGCAAGTATATAACCTTCAGAGAAAAGAAAACCCAACTGCTTTGAATTTCAACGAGACTCAAAGCAGAGAAAGAATCAACGAAGGAGAAGTTAACCATGAGAAAGTTCCGAAGTTACAAAGATTTCTTCTTTTTCTCCTTTTCAACGGGGCGCTAATTCTTTGCATAACAATAATTTTTGGAGCATCCTGCTGGTTTTCAGATACTTAAAGTGGTAAAAAAGTTTTTGCTGATCTTTAGAAGTACATAATCCTACAATTGCGAGGCCGCGCCAAATTACACTTCGTTCATACTCCTATAATTTTATTGCCATCACTAACGTACGTGTTTCTACCCTTTTTGGGAGAATTTTTCTTGCTGCTTCTAATATATGCCTTTATTTTTACTGCAATTTCTTTGTTTTTGGTTGTTAAACCCTAAACCTGGGTATTTTACGTAAAATAGTAATTATTTCAATTGAAAGGATGTTTCTTTGTTTTAATCTCACTTAGTATGAGTTTTCTTAATTGAATGTTCCTACCTACGTTTTCCAAAATAGGCAGTAAGATTAAGGTAAATTTTTTTCCTCTCACGTTAGATTGAGGCCGGATATATTAAATTTAATCAAAGCAATATTCGATCAGTTTGGTTATTCATCTCCCGTAAATGGAGAGATACTTGAAATTTTTTTAAAAATTGCTTTTTGACAAATGATAATACTCGAAGGTGCCTTTCTTTTTCGTTGGCTCTTCTTTTATATGTTGGATATTTTGGGTATTTCTTTTGCAGATAATTACAGTACAAGCCATTCTCATATACTAACTTTTTTGAGACACTTTCAAAGTGGTGCTGCTAAAAGAGAAACAGCCACACCACTGCCAGGATTACAATTATTAATGCAGGAGATGGCCCTAGACAACATCCAACATGGGTTTGTGAACTTCCTGAAAAATAATTATTTTTTTTACACAATAGTTAAATTTACAACTCATTTGTAGATAATTATCATAAGTATATTTGTATGCGTTAATGAACCGAGCATAACTTTAATGATTCAAATTGGTGGTTGTACATTGGGTTAGCTTAAAACTAAATTAATTAATTAATTTATATCTTCTAGATAATCATAAGTTCTTAATGGAGTATCATTTTTTAATCTAAATTGTAGCACAGTAACAAAAACATAGGATAGGATACCTTAAATAACATCCTCTTAGAAATATCAATTTGAATTTCTATAACAGATTTCAACTGGAATTTGTTTTCCTGAGAGCAATTAGTAACTACTAGAAGTATATTGAATTTGTGCGGACTGTTGATACAGAGGATAAGTGAATTTTGCAGGCTTTAGTCTTGAGGCTTTGTCAAGAAGATGGGAGTTGTTAAAAAGTGAAGGAGAAGGAAATAGCGGTTGAAACTTGAAGCATAAGTTGAGGAAGACGGGGAACGCACACCACGACACTGGTCACTGCTTCTGCCACTGCTGTGGTAGATACTGAGAATAATGATATTAGCCAAGATAGAAGAAGCGCCGGCAATAGCAATAGCAATAGCACAGCAACAGAAACACCAAAAACTTAGTAGGTGTTTGGACATAAGTATTGTGAAATTCCGGGAGAAAGTGATTTTTGTTTTTTAAGTGAATATGGTATTTAAAAATTAGAGTTGTTTGGATATTAATACAATTTGGAACTGTTTTTAAATTTTGTGCGTGATTTAAAGTGAAAATTTAAAAAAATATTTTTTTGAAGTTTTTCGTTTTCGAAAGATTTCGAAATTCTAACTTCAAGTGAAAATTAAAAATTTCATGGCCAAACACTCCTTCCGGAAAAAAAGTGAATTTGTTTTCGGAGCCAATCGGGCCTTAAATCAATGAACAAATTAGTTTGACTAGAGAACTTTTCATTCTCTATATGTCGACATCTTCTATGATCTTCTCTCTTTTTTTTGTGTGTCTTTTTTCTCTTTCACTTTGAAGACAAAAACTAGAACAATTATTTTTTATACTCAAGTTATTTCCTTTTTCTTCCTTCCCTACCCTTTGTAAGTTTGTGTGCAATATCGCAAATCGTTGATTCCTTCTAATTCCTAAAAACTTTTTCATTACTACATTATGATATATACTTTTTAAGAGTTTTAAAACAGCAGAAATGACCACAGTGGGTCTCAACATGATTAGCATATAGCCTAACACGATTTCTAACATGAATCTTGTCACAATCCAATTTTTTCCTCCGTTTGGTATCGTGATGGCACCTAGTCTTAGTGACTAGGTAAGCCTAACATTAATTGAAACAACATTATTTAATTAACATCTAACAAAATAAATAAAAATCTCTTACAATTCCCAAAACCGATAGTACAAGTCATAAGCTCTATAGAGTGTTTGCTAGAAAATTTCTAAATACAACTGTCCAAAAATAAGAATAAACAGTGCAAAATAAAAAATTGAAGGTAACTTCGAAACCTGCGAATGCAGCGGCAGATTTACCTTGAGTCTCCGCAATGACAGTCCACACAACTAGCTAACGAACAAATACCTGGGTCTGCACACAAACAAAAATTGTGCAGAAGAGTAGCATGAGCACACCACAGCGGTGCCCAGTAAGTATCGAGACTAGCCTCGGTGAAGTAGTGACGAAGACTAGTCAAGACATTCACTGGTCTAATAAACTGAAAGCAAGCATAAGTATAGGGATGACAGAACATGACATCTATCTAAGGACCCCGCGATATGGCTAACGACATGGCAACTGTAATAAGGAAGGAAAAACAAGAAGTAACAGCGGAACACCAGAATAAAACACAGAAGAATGAACGAAAAACACAACCCAAATTCAAAAAAATCACAATACAGTAAAGGCAAGTAGTAACTCAGCAGCTGCAGTGCTGGGGGATCTCCCGAAATACGTCCGTAGTCCCAAAGTAAATATGCAAGACATGGGGGGATCTCGCGAAATACGTTCGTAGTCCCAATTTAAATATGCAGTACTGGGGGATCCCGGTATACGTCCGTAGTCCCAAAATAAATATGCAGTGCTGGGGGATCTACCGAAATACGTCCGTAGTCCCAAAGTAAATATGCAAGACATGGGGGATCTACCGAAATACGTCCGTAGTCCCAAAGTAAATATGCAAGACATGAGGGATCTCTCGGAATACGTCCATAGTCCCAATTTAAATATGCAGTGCTGGGGGATCTCCCGGAATACGTCTGTAGTCCCAAAATAAATATGCAGTGCTGGGGGATCTACCGAAATACGTCCGTAGTCCCAAAGTAAATATGCAAGACATGAGGGATCTCTCGGAATACGTCCATAGTCCCAATTTAAATATGCAGCGCAAACAATAGAGATAACAACTATAACATGACAGAAACCTCGTACATCACCACAACGAGTACAAAAGCAATAATGACAGAAATGCAAAGTATGACGAGCAAATCAATTCAAGAATTTAAATCACAAGAACGGTAGAACTCATTCACAAGGATTAACCACAGTACAGAACGCTAGGCAAAAGGAGAACAGCTTAACAAGGGAAAACAAAATAAAAATATAGCAACGATTCTACAATATTCAAATCAACAATAAGAAGCCAACACGAGTCAAATAGTTCCAAATAATGGTAAGTCAACTGAGATATAGGTTATCTAAACTTCTTTTGAGGTTGAGCAATTACGAGGAATATTCAACAACTCAAGTAAGAATAAGCAACGGAAGATAATCATAACTCCAATTAAGACTAAACAATTATAGGATGAGAAAATAATGAGTTCAATTAGAAATAAGTAGTTATGAAAAAATATAACACGACAATAGAAGTAGGTAAAATCTTTGGTTAAGTTGAATAAGGGTCAAATAGACAGTAAGAGTGAATCCTAAAGCAATTATCTCTAATCAAAGCATGTAGAGGTGAAACTAGCAAATAGGAATTCAAAATACCCGAAGTGAAGCTATTCAAGGCCTCAAACCGCCGAATGACGTGCTAGAGCTCAAAACGACCGGTCGGGTCGTTACATGAAGCCTTCTTCTTGCACAGAGAAGTTGGGTTCTTCATGAATTCAAAGGGAAAATTGAGAGAAATGGAATTGGGATTTCAAAGAACATCCGTTCGCAATCTCTTTATTCCCCTACCCACGGTAAAACCCATGCATCTTCTGTTAAATTTTTACTTTCTGTTTGATGTTTGTGTTGGCTATACTAAAACTGCTCTACTTTAGAAAAGTTAACAAAAAGTGCTCAAAGTGATACACAAAGGACAAAGTTAGATTACTCTTAAAGATAAGGAATGAGTTTAGCTGAAAACTCCAGTTCAAGCTTTCTATAATTGGATAGTCTTTGGTGGACTTTCCTATTTGTTATGGTGCGTACCTCAACCTTGGGATTATTTTTAAAAGATTAAAAAACGTGAAAAACAAAATGCATGTGTCTATTACATGTATATAAAACAGTGTGACTGTCTTTCCTCATTGGCTAATTATTTTGTAGGAAACTTTTGTCTTCTGAAACGCTTATTTCTTAATTTGTTTTTGCAGGTCAAATTGGCAAATGTGGAAAATCGATCAGTAATTTATTCCTTCTCAGTTTTTCTTTTCCCGAAAGTTAACAATTATTTTTCACAAAACAGAAAGAAAAAAAAAAGTGTATAACGTCTTGAGGGTAAACTTGTGAAGCTACTTTGTCTAATTTTCGCATCAAATTTCAAATCTGAAACTCTCTTGGCTCTAGTCTTTGTATGCAGTTCAAGCTTTCTATAATAGGATAGTCTTGGACGACTTCCCTATTTGTTCTGGTGCGTACCTCAACCTTGGGATTTTGTTTAAAAGATTAAAAAACGTGAAAAGCAAAATGCATGTGTCTACTACATGTATATAAAATGATGTGACTGTCTTTCATGCTGGCTAATTATTTTGCAGGAAGCTTTTGTTTTCTGAAACACTTATTTTTTTTTATTTTTTATTTTTGCAAGGCAAATTGGCAAATTGGCAAAACACAGTAAGTTATTCCTTCTCAGGGTTTTTTTTTCGAAAAGTTATTAATTATTGTACACAAAACAGAAAATAAAAACATAAGTGTACAACTTGAAGGAACTCGGTGAAATTTGAAATAGATTATGCCTCTTCTACAACTCCATTCTGCACAAAAAATAAAACAAGTAATGAATTAAATGGTTACAAAACAATTAAAGGACTGACTTATTTATTTATTTATTATTCATTAAAGTACAATTTCAAATCCTTGAGTAACTTTATCAATTGCTTGATAAATAGATTAAACATAAATTCCACACCAAGTATATAAACGACCTAACCTAAATAGTCGTTCACTGATTGCTTAAATTTAAAATAGCTAACATACATATAATTAATATATAATTTTTATATATCGACTAAAAAAATAAACAGTAAAGTCCTATGTAGTATTATTTGGATTGGCATGTGCTCAGCATGGGCCGGCTCGTCTTGCAATAGCTTGAGCCATTTATGATGGAGAATAGTGTAGATTGCCATTTGTTGTGCACTAATAATGGCTTTCCGTCTCAGAGGGTGAGCTTTTTTTTTTAGCAAATAAACTACTAGGTTATTCACCTAGTAGCTGATATATATAATAAATCCCAAATTGGGTAGAAGTTACAAAATGTTCGAGCGAACTACAAACAAATAATATGACAAAGAAATCCACAGCATATCGCTACCAAATACAATGTAGCAATAGTGTAATGAAAAATTAAAAGTGACAAGCTATAATTTTGAACCATCCAATTATTGCCGGCGACCATGAATTCACACACCAGTTGCTAACAATTTGTTGTAGCACCTGCAAAGCTCTTACCGGGTGCCATTCGTTGCAATTCAAACGGAGTAGGTATGTTTACATCCAGTAGTTGTAAGGCAAAGCAGCTTGGACATTGTGAAATTGGGGCTGAAAATTCCAGCATCATTGTTGATACAGATCTCCAGAAAGTCAAAGAAGTAAACTTCCAGCTTCCATGTTTTAGTTGTTTGGATTTTCCAACAGCAGTCTCTTGTTCACTGCCATATATGTCGAAGAAGTGTTTGTTGTTTCTAGTGTAATGATCTGCAATGTACGGATGAAGCAGTCTGCTTGACCTGTTGATCTTATATATGGAATCAGCACACTAGTACTAGTGCTGCAAAAACCAAGCATTGATGTATTCTGCAGAAACAGTTCTACTTAAATTTGCTGCAAAATGAAGCAAACAAGTTAGGAGGGAATGCTCTGCTCCAAGGTTTATTGTTGTATATCTTCCAACAATCCCCACGATGAGTATGTTGCCAGGATAATAATATGGGAAAGTAATACAATAAGTGTACTATCTCCCTAGTATCTGCAGCAGAGGTCAATCTATTTAAGTGTTGCCTCGTGAATCTGTTTAAACTTCTTAATTGGACTGTAATCCCAGTGGCACAGAAGGAGCAGTAGCCCAAATGCATGGTTATGTGATTTTGGATAAGCAGCTTTAACCAAACACCTAGATATAACAGACACATAATTATGCCTATTGGAAAGTATGTACATTAGCTACCCATCTACAGATGCAGTCAACACAGAAGGTGATGTCGACAGTGTTCCTTCACAATGGGGACTAGATGTCATGGTGCATTTGTTGTGGCTGCAGTGAGTATTTTGTTGTTGATGTTCTGCAGTATTCTTGTGAGAAAGAGGACCTGAGAGGCCAC